AACACGTTCACGCTTCATTACTGCAGGGGTAGGTTCCATCTATAGAACACGTTCACGCTTCATTACTGCAGGGGTAGGTTCCATCTATGGAACACGTTCACGCTCCATTACTGCAGCAGAAGGTTCCATCTATAGAACACGTTCAGCATGGTTCATCTCTCACATTAGTAGCATATGAGCATTCTCATTTGAGCAATGAGAAACACACACAAAAATATTATATTTAAGTTATGTATTCACATGCACTGCATCTTTCATAAGTAACATTCAAGAAATAGTGAAAAACAGAAGAAGTAAGAAAAATGCTTTAAAAACGAACTAAAGAATCACACTAAAGAGTCACACTTCCGCAAATGAAACAAAGAAAATATTTTAAAAAACTCACTCGTAGAAACCGAAGGCTCATGAAGTTCACTAACACAGTAACTTTCCTGTGACGTGATTCTGTTCAAACGTGACAACGTCACATGATGAGACATTTCATTACTTAGCTCGTGGTACATAGTGTAGTACGTCGTTCTCTGTGTCAATCTAGATGTAGACGACAATAACACTTAATTGCGCTAATTGCGCTAATTGCGCTAATTGCATTCATGATTTCGATCTTGTTTGTTCTCCTATTTGGCTTACAAACGAAATATACAGTCGAATGCTTATACAGTACGAATGAGTCGAGTGGGCAGAGAGCATGGCTTCACAGGTGTGTACAGGCAGTGTATATACTTGTCAGCTAGGTCTTGCTAACAACTATTTTACTGCTGTAATCTGTGAGAGTAAGGCACGTTTCCTTGATGATCATCACCATTGCTATTACTGGCGTGCTTGCAGAGAAGTTAGATGCAAAGGAACTTCCGCCAGCCTACCTCGTCTTTGCTGGCTATGAGCCACTGGAGTTCACCAACCTGTTTCCCTTCTGGGTTCACAACGATGAAGTGAGAGAGTCCAACACGGAGGTTAGTATGTGGCGGAAGTCAGTCGTGTTAGTAATAGCTTCCCAAAAATGTTGCCCATTTTTACCCATGTGCTTTTTTCAGCAATGGTTTTATGAAGGTTGTGAATGGATATGTAATAGAAATTTTTCTGAACAAGATCGTAGCAGAAAAAAACTGATAAGAAGGATATTGTTATGATCTATGGTTTTGTGGATAAAACACACGATGCGCAGAGACTAGATTATGCGTACGACTGGTAGTTTACTCCGGCACGGTAGAGAGCGATTGCACATTGATAGTTGTCTACCTACGTACCAATGTATTACTACGCCTTAATGTACATACTTATATAAAAGTAGTGCAGCATCACAACAAATATCAGATGAAATGTACAACTATTTATATTTCTATAACTATCATAATAAACCGTGCTCAGGTAACAAAAATTACACACGGCAGAATCTGCACTATTTTCAAAATAGATTGGCAACACTTCGGAACAATCCTTCGATTATTTTATGCTCGTTATTATCGATTTCCCCTTGAATATTGCGATCGGGTATCAGAGTGGTCGACCTCAGTGTGTAGACGTGGTGTTTCGTGTAACTGCAGGCATACGGTGACTGGGGCGACAACATTGCTGTAGAAGATGTGCTGCTCAGTATCACTAGCATGGTGTACACACTCGAGGAGCTACGCCAGCGCCCCCTACCTCACCACGTCGACCCGTTAAAGCTCGAGTCCTACCTCTGCGATGACGATTTTGAGGTGATTGAGAATTCTGCGAAATAATTATAGTAATTAATAAAAAATTAACTAATAATCAGTAATTATGCAGAAACGAAAGAGTCAAGTGTGATACTGATGTGTAGTAGGGTGTCCATTTCATACTGCATTTACTCTTCCTCCCGCTGACTTCACTTTTAGAATTTTTAGAGAGAAAGAGAGAGAGAGAACGAGAGTAAGAGAGAGAAAAGAGAGAGAGAGAAAGAGAGAGAGAGAGAAAGAAAGAGAGAGAAAGAGAGAGAGAGCCTATATGCATGTGTACATATGCATGTGTATATATTCGTGTATACATATGCATGTATACATATGCATCAAGAGTACGTAATAGGAGATCTTTTATAATATCTCCTATTATGTACTCTTGATATGCATGCAATAATGATTGTAACAGAGCAATACTTTATTGCAGGAGGTTTTCAAGATGACGAAGGAAGACTTCGACCAGCTTCCCTTCTGGAAGCAGAGGAAACTGAAGCTTCCCACTGGCCTACACTGATGGTGATTCGAGGCAGGAGCAATCCAGAACCGGACGATAAGCAAAGCCGAGTTTCCCAATACATGCTGCCACAGACATCCGATCTTGCAGAGTGTGCTTGGCAGCTCAGTCGAAGGAGGATTAGTATGCCACGATATAACTCTGGAGTATCGGGTTGCATGTGGCGTGACTTGTCAAAACGGTGTAGGCTTTTGCTGTTCAAGTTTCCCCGTCAGGCTTTGCTGAGGGTATCACGTGAAAGCACGCTGTGCAAAAGTGGATTCGATAGTGCTGCCATCTTCGGGTGCAATTCTGTGATTATCGTCGTATTCTCAGCGGACATGCCTTGGTAGGTGGAGGTAAAAAGAGAAAGTCTAGTGCTCAACCGTGCGTGCCAGAACGAAGATATACAGGGTGAGACAAATAATTGAAGGAGGGGTGAATAGATGTGAGGATAGACAGAGGAGTTTTCTGATCGCGTAGGTAATTGCGTATAACCCACCATCTCACCTCAGATATGATGCAATAGCAAATGCACTTGTGATCATTTGTTCATGTGAGGATTATGCCTTAAACCTTCAAGCCCCCTGCCGCATAGCATTACCGTAGTTGCACCATTGGGATAGCAATGTATAATAGAAAAGTTGTGCCTTCCCTTTTGCCTATAGTGCGGATGTTGTCCCTAATGCAGATATATATTATATACATCAACAGTAAGATGTATGCAGGCAATACTGTGATATGATGAATAATTGACTAGTACAATGTAACTTATTCTTGTTGTTGAACTGATTGTGTTTAGTGACTATTTAAAAAAATCATGGGGGCAAACTGACGTTGTTTTTAGTCGTTTTTTCTAAGAGTTATTGTGCTCAAGACTTATTTTGTATGATAACGATAAACTGGTGCTACTGCTGATGTAGTGGATGTAGAATCTTCTGCTTTTACTCCTTATAGCGCTGATGTGAATGTGCTTAACCTTTTGCGTGTTTTTGGGGGATCGAGCTGCCCACTGGTGTTGACAGGGCACGGCTCTTCCCACTGTTGATCTTGTGCGTGGGTCATGCGCCGAGAACAGTAGCGCCCTCTCGTGGGTAGATGTTTCCTTGTGCTGCGACTCCGCCACTGGTCACGACTTTAGTTTTCTATTATTGTTATTGTTCGACGGTGTAGATCTCGTATTGCATCAATCACACGCTATGACTGTCAGCGTGAGTTTACGTGGTTTTTGCGGCAGGAGATTGACCGGGCCGCAGCCACGTAGAATTTATCAACGTGATTATTAAAATAAGGGGGGGGTCGAAGGTAAAATGGAAAAAGGGCGGCGTGCTGTCTGTGTGCATTAAGTCAATGTCAAGTCTGTGTGCAATGCGATGATGATGACGGCGACCTTTTCTTGTCAAAGCTCACGCTCTAAGCCGATTGTAAACTGCTTCGACGACAGCGCGACCTCATTTACTAGAGTGCCATTTGCTGCGCGGTCGATGAGTGAGGAGAGCCAGGTGCGTGAAGATTGAGGGGATGAAAGAAGGTGATCAACGTCTGCCCGACGTCTCTACCTGCGCATCGTGCTCTACTCTACTCTACTCTCTCGCACGCAAAAGCGATCCTGATGCTTCTCCTCGGCGAGAACAAATACCGCGAAATGCTGCGCCGTGCATCTGCTGGCTGCGTCACATATAGCGGCTGCAGCTCTACCCCGTGTAGCCATGGGCTTCCTCTATAACCCGGGGTTGCTGAGATGGAGCCACGCCGACTGAGTGCAATGTGTGATATGATATCAAACCTGCATATATCAGACTCCGAGCGAGGAGCAATGTATATACCTCGGCTACACGCAGCCGATCCAAACGTCTTCCTGATTTATTCGTGAGTTCGGGGCGCGGGTTGTATTGAATGGCGGACGCGCACACTGCAATACACGTGGGTGGCAGCAGTGTAGCACACTGCAATACACGTGGCAACAGTGTAGTTCACTGCAATACACGTGGCAACAGTGTCGTGCACTGCAATACTCTTAGTGGCGGCAGTGTAGTTCACTGCAATGCACGTAGGTGGCGGCAGTGTAGCACACTGCAATACACGTAGGTGGCAGCAGTGTAGCGTTTCGTTATGGCACGGTGTGCATAGGATAGGTACGATGACGTCATCATGCATCTGACGTCACACCAGCTTACGTTGGTCTCTTGTGGCCTTCATCAAGGGGTCACTTGTGTAATCTGACCTTCATTCAGGGGTCACTTATGATCCTATTAGAAAATTTATGGATTCCGTTATAGCTTCCTTGTACAAGATGTGCTGATTAGCGTTTTATGGGGACAGTAAGCCGAGAACAGTGAATCGAATGGAAAAGAGACGTGCCGTTTTTGCTAGCTACTTTTGGCAATCAATAAAATGCCGTTTGTATTATGAGTTTACTATCTCAACGTTCTTTGTTTATTTTTGTGTTTGGCGGGCGGGTACGGTATGGTCGTGTGTGCGTGTGTTGTGTTTGGCGGGCGGGTACGGTATGGTCGTGCGTGCATGTGTTGTGTTTGTCGGGGACGGATATGGTCGTGCGTGCGTGTGTTGTCCCTCGACTAATCTAAATCTACCAGTGGCGCTGAGGGTCTATGTCCCCCAGGGTACTGCCGGAACGTACCCTGGTGCTATATTATATGCCGGCCCGTACCTCGCTAGCTCTAGTACTACATAGCCGCAGCGCTACAGGTTGCCGCTGCAGTGGCAACTGTACGCGGGCTATAGTACTAGAGCTAGTACCTCGCCTACTCCACTACCGAGTCTAGGGAGTCGCCTACGCCTACTCCCTAACCCTAACCATATCAAATAGTGACCAGAGTCCGCTTCCGGTACTACGGACGTACCACAGGGTAACGTATCCGGCAGAAACCCCGGCTGGGACAACCGCACCGCCTAATTGAGTAATGAGCACGCAAGTTGGCAGTAAAGTCCGAGCCGACCCGCAAGACCGCGCCGTAATGCACGCCCTCAGATTAGCAAAGCGGAGTTATAACGTCTGCATTTGCGGACTAGAGTGGCAGTACCATGTTCAATGTTGTAACTTGTAATGTACATTGTTCAAGTGGACTTGCATCATTAGTTGGACTTAAGGTGTTAGGGAGAAAAGTGAGACGGGTTCAAACCCCACAGGCACTTTTTACATAACGCTGATACATATAATATTAACGATTGTGAATGAACACATTAGCATAACATGCCAAAGTAATTTGATCGATTTTTGTTTACATGTCTGTCACTAAGCAATTTATGGATGCTCACTTGACACCGAATATGCGCGCTCCAAACTCGTTCCAAAATGTACCGGTCATTTGCGGTGGCGCCACCGTCCAATGATATTTTATTCATTGGATTGAATTCATTTTATTTCTTAAACGGACACTCTCGAGGCATGGAAGAAATATATAGTTACATAATAAACATTGAAATCATGTTTGGCAACATTTAACAAACAATTAAATAAACGGCAAGATTTAACAAATAACTACATAGCACCCGGTATCACCTGACACCATAGATACTTCGCGTAGATATAACGTTGCATATAAGTGGTGCCATTGGACGGTGGCGCCGCTAGTTCTAAAATGTACCGCTCTCCGTGCTGCGGCGCCACCGTCCAATGGCATTTTATGCATTAGATTGAATTGATTTTATTTCTTCCATGCCCCTTTCGGTGCATGGAAGAAATACATTGTTACATAATTAAAATAGGAATCATGTTTGGAAACATTTGCCAAACAATTAAATAAATGGCAAGATTTAACAAATAACTATAGCACCCGGTGTCATCTGACACCATAGATACTTTACGTACATATTACGGTTCATATAAGTGGTGTATGCTCACCGGCGATTGGACGGTGGCGCCACGAGCGAAAGCGCGGTACATTTTAAAACGAGTTTGGAGTGCGCATGTTCGGAGTTTCAAGTGAGCATCCATAAATTGCTTAGAGATATGTAAATTGTAAACAAAACAAAAATTAGTCGAAAATGAAATGCCAAATTTGTTGTTGTTTTCGGAATTAATGGTATGGAAATACACTAGATAGGACCACGTGACATCTCTGCGTAAACCGGTTCGTCGCCATCAGAAACATGTTTGTTTACATTGATTGTAAATGCGCATATTCTGAACCTAGACTCCTAGTCTAGTGTAGTACAAGGAGCTATAGAGTATATATTAACATATATAGTTTA